GGGGCCTACCTGTGCGGGGCCGCCGGGATCGGGGCTGGGGCGGGGGCCGGGGCCGGGGCTTGGTCCCGCCGGTGTTTCTGAAGTGGGGAGGGGTTGGAGGGCGAGTGGGAACCTGACCCGGTCATGGCCCAGTCACGACACGGTCGTGATCAACCGTTTCAGGTAACGCCGCCCGTGACTCCCCGGCGCCCCCGGTCAGCGCCGGTTGGGGCGAAACCTGTGCCTCCGGGTGCTGAGCCCTGAGCCGAGTCCCCGACGGAGGGACGCTGCCCCGGGTCCTCCTCCCCTGAGTGCTGCCGCCCTCTCTTGCAGGAGGTATGTCGCTGGCGGGGAGTGCAAGTCGACAGCGAAGCTGGAGGGGAAGGTGGCGATAATCACGGGAGCCAACACGGGCATCGGGAAGGAGACGGCCCGGGACCTCGCCCGGAGAGGCAAGTCGCCGGCCTTCATCGGCAGGGCATCCCCGTGAAGGGATCCGAGGGAGGAGTACTTGGTGCTTACATTTGAGTGAATTGGATCCCAAAGTTATTCCAGACGAGCCCGAGTGTTGCTCCTCCGGAGGCTGTAACCCCTGAGGTGCAAGTCCCCAGTTCCTCGGCTGGTTTCACCGTTTGTACTCCAAAAACGTGCCTTGTGATGTGAAAATGCTCTGCGCTGCAGCCGTTTTGAGAGGACTGGGGAAGTTCCTGGTATCACTGGATTCCGCTTGTATGACGCTGGGAAATGCCATAGGTCCACTGCTGTGTGCTTTAGTTATTCACGTTTCAAGCTAATTTGGTTTAAATGCTTTTTGGGTAACTGGTAAGGAGAATAAACTACCTGTTTACAATCCGTTTAGAAACTACTCTGGCTGGAATCCAAGTATCTTCATGTGCTCCGAGCTTGACATTCCCATTATAGGGGCAGATGTTACCCAGTCATACCAGTGTTGTGGTACACACTCCTGACCTGGGAGAATCTGCACAGCGGCACTTGAGATGTGTGTTTTCCTGGTATGAAAACAGCTTTGGGCTGTATCAGAGCTAACAACATAGCAGGAAAGGCTTTGTCCTTCCCAGCTGCTCCCCTGACCTGATGCCAATTCCCTAAAGAAACAATAGGTTGGTTGTAAGCACTGTGCGTAGTCAGCCTGCTTGTCGTAGTCCTTATCATCCAGTGTGCTCCCAGTGATCTCAGCTTCTGTTCCTGCTTTCTGCCCCCCTCCTTGCAGGTGCGAGGGTCATTATCGCTTGCAGAGACATAGCGAAGGCAGAAGCTGCAGCCCGTGAAATCCGAGCTGAGACGGGGAACCAGCAAGTTATTGTGAAAAAACTGGACTTGGCTGATACGAAGTCCATCCGGGAGTTTGCTGAGAAATTCCTAGCAGGTACAGTCTCTAGATCCTTCTTTTCAGTGAGAATATTTTACCAAGGACTTCTGTCTGCTTTTCTAGCAAATTCCAAATCCCTGACCTGCATATCTCTCGACCATGTTGGGTACTGTGGTTCAAAGCAGGGGCTTGTCAGAGGCCATGAGCTAGTTTGTGGTAGGAGACTTATTTTATGGAGGTGATGTGGCTGCAACTCAAGACGGGTGTGGGATTTTTTTGGCTGGCTTGTGCCACCTCCTTGTCTGTCTTCAGTCCCTGTTCCCCTGTTTAAGGATGTCTGTTGTTTCTTGCAGAGGAGAAGGAACTCCATATTCTCATTAATAATGCTGGGGTAATGTTATGCCCTTACTCCAAGACTGCTGATGGCTTTGAGATGCACCTGGGAGTCAATCATCTTGGTAAGGCCAGTGGAGTCATGTTTGCATTCAGTATCTGTGGCAAAATGCCAGAGGAAAATCCTGCTTTCTTTTTTTTTTCTTCCTCATTCTTTCTTCTTGGAGGATGGAAGGCTGGAGTTAGAGTTCTGGGAATGCAATGCAATGTATTTGCTTATCTGGACCCAGATTAAGTATCTGTATGTGTTGCCTGGGATGTTTGAAATGTGTGACAGCAGCAGCTTTTTGAAGCTGAGGAGTGGAACTTAGACGGCCCCGAAAAAGTTTAGCTGTTGATTGAAGGGGGTCGTCTTTTCTCTGGACTTGAAATGAGGGCATCAGTAACTTATAACATGTCAGTAATATGTTGAAAGTTCTTTAAAATTCCAGCAGGGGAACCCTTCAGAAAATGGTGACATTTCCTCTCACCCCCAGGTCATTTTCTCTTGACCTTCCTGTTGCTGGAGTGTCTGAAGCAGTCTGCCCCAGCCCGCATAGTGAACGTGTCCTCACTGGCTCATCATGGAGGCCGAATCCGCTTCCACGACCTCCATGGTGAGAAGAGCTACAATCGTGGCCTCGCCTACTGTCACAGCAAATTGGCTAACGTGCTCTTCACCCGGGAGCTGGCAAGGCGGCTGCAAGGCAAGTTGCAGAGGAGAGCAGAGTGCTTTTCTGCTTGGCTTTTGAGCACTATGGACGAGGAGGGTGGATTGAAGGAAAGCTTGGAAATTGGCTGTGTAGAAATGAAATAGTTTGAGGCAAGGGTCACTTACAGCTTTTTGATGCAGGAAGACAGTATCTCCTGTCCGTGGAACCAGGAGCCTAATTGTCCTTACAGCAAGAATTGTCTTTACAGCAACAGGGCAGAGGAGTTTAGTAGCCTGGCACAGTAGAAGGGACTTCATTTTTCTTTGGTGCTTGTGAAAAAAATAGTTGCATCCACACAGACAATTGTGGTATGTGGTGGGAAGCTGGAAAAAAAACCAGAAGGAGCTGAACTGCAGTTGCAGTCTGTAATGGAAAAGCTGAGGAACACTCAGCTGCCTTAAGTGTCAGTGGCCTGCAAATTAGAAGCATAGGACTAGACAGTACCTCTTAAGTCACAACATCTGTCGCATTCAGTCCTTTTCATAAACTTAAGTAGTCATGTCTTTTCTGGGAAATGAGTATTACGGTAAATCCAAAGAAGCTGGTGTTCCCAAAAGCCTGATGGGAACTGCTGCTGTTTTTGACCCCAGGCCCTCTAGCGCATTGTTTTGCACAAGGCGTGTAGTGAGCGCAGTGTTTGGAAGGGAGTGGGGGATGCTCCAGCAAGCAGTAACTACTGAGAATTTCACTTACTCTCCCTGTGTCCGTGCCTGGACTCCTCCTTTAAGTTGTAGAATATCTGCAGGTAGAATTGAGGAGTATATTACTTTTTTTTTTTTTTTTTTTAAAAAGGCTGTTTGATGCATGCAGAATTGTCCTGGACTACTTTCTTTCACCATAGGCACTAAAGTCACAGCAAACGCTCTCCATCCTGGTTCTGTCCATTCTGAGCTGGTCCGGCACTCGTTTGTAATGACGTGGCTGTGGAAGATATTCTCATTCTTCTTGAAGACGCCTCGGGAAGGAGCTCAGACCAGTGTCTACTGTGCAGTAGCAGAAGAGCTAGACTCTGTGACAGGACAGTATTTCAGGTGGGTACAAGCTGATGGAGTGATACACTGTGGAAGGCCGCCTTGCTGGCTAGGGAAAATTAGACTTACTGTCATTCTTCATTAAGATGGGACTGGGTAAGCGGCTGGCTGATAAGATTGAGGCTGACAAATACTGGAGCATTAGCCCTTCCGGGTCGGGTCTGTTTCAGTTGTTATTGTGTTAGAAGAAATCCCTGACCTGTGCAACGTTTCACACAATAGCAGGTCC